TCCAATTTGAATTGTATCTCTGAAAAAAATACAGCTTTTAATTTATCTGGTGTAAGCATAAACAAAATATAGAAGTACAAATTCTTAAAAAGGTCCATTTTGATGTGTAATGATAAGTATTATTGTAAGAAAATGTCATCATAGAGTTGTCTTACCGTTCATTGTAACAAATAAGCATTAGTGTGACTTCATGACCGTCTGCTCCCTAGAATAGTTGAATCCTCATACCTGCTAGTTTTTAAGATACTGCCCTCTGGTGTCTGTAGGCTACCATTGCATTTTGTTTAAAAAACACACACACACACACACACACACACAAAACACACACACACAAAAAAAACATTCTTAGAGGAAATCATGGAATATAGCAAAATGGCAGAGTTATCTGTTTTCCGACAATTAGTTGAACATATAAATTGTTTTAAACAATTCATTTTTTAGAGATCTCAGTCCTTACATGTATTTTCACTGTGACTTACAGAAATTTTTATTGTAGGACACAAAAAAGTTAGTGTCATCTTTAACCTCCTACAATATGCTTGCATTTCATTCGTCCTGTGCAATTTTATTTAATATGTGGTTAGGTTCTAAAATGAGCCTGTGAGGTGAAAAAATCTATAGTAAAAATTAAAACCACAGAAACCCTCTAAATCATCCATACATTTGGGGACATGAACTTTTGGACGATTTCATCCATTCCTTCACCCTTCTGTCGTCCATGTTTTTCTGTGGCCTGTAATTCTTCAGTTGCTTCCCCTAGAATGTCGAGGGTGCTGTCACCACATCCTTGACAGTGGCCCGGGAAACCCTGCGAATCATTCACACATTCTCCCAAAGGGTTATCAGCCTCCTTGGGCCCTTGAGTCCTTCCATTGCCGCTGGAGTGACAGGCTGAGTTCCAGACACTGCCTTGGTGGTTTCGCTGTCTCCTCAACCTCGCACTCCTCTCCCGTCCTTTGCCCTTCCCTGTGACTCTTCCTCCCTTTCTTTTTCCTTCCACTTGAGTATTTGTGCAAAGAAAATACACTATTTCACCTGTATCATAGTGACAGTAATAATGCCCGTGAAGTGAAACCTCTTGAGAAATAGACATTTTATGGACCCAGTATATTATTAGAAGTCTCTCAAGTGTAAATTTCTTTCTTTTCTTTTCTTTTCTTTTTCTTTCTTTTTTTTGAGACAGCATTTCACTCTTGTTACCCAGACTGGAGTGCAGTGGTGCAATCTCGGCTCACTGCAGCCTCTGCCCCCACTGGGTTCAAGCGATTCTCCTGCTTCTCAGCCTTCCAAGCAGCAGGGACTACAGGCACGCGCTACCATGCCTGGCGAATTTTTATATTTTTAGTAGAGACCAGGTTTCACTGTGTTGGCCAGGATGATCTCGATCTCCTGACCTCATGATCGCCCCCGCCTCAGCCTCCCAAAGTGCTAGGATTACAGATGTGAGCCACCAGGCCCGGCTGCTAATTTTTGTATTTTTAGTAGAGATGGAGTTTCACCACATTGGCCAGACTGGTCTCAAACTCCTGACCTCAGATGATCCATCCACCTTGGCCTCCCAAAGTGCTGGGATTACAAGCATAAGCCACCATGCCCAGCCAAGTGTAAATTTCTTATACATATGTGTTTTTTGATTTTTTTTGGTCCCAAACTTATATAAGTTATTGAAAATGAAAAGTCTAAAAATACCTGTCAAGGGGGTCCTCGGTGTTGCACAGCCTTCACACACGGGCCCACGCACGAGGACAGGTTGAGATGGAACATCTAGACCATGGGGCACTGTAAGTTTCCTCACGCCTGTAATCCCAGCACTTTGGGAGGCCGAGGCGGGCAGATCACAAGGTCAGGAGATCGAGACCACGGTGAAACCCCATCTCTACTAAAAATACAAAAAATTAGCCGGGCGTGGTGGCGGGCGCCTGTAGTCCCAGCTACTCAGGAGGCTGAGGCAGAAGAATGGCATAAACCCGGGAGGCAGAGCTTGCAGTGAGCCGAGACCGTGCCACTGCACTCCAGCCTGGGCAACAGAGCGAGACTCCGTCTCAAGAAAAAAAAAAAGAAACAAAGGTGTCCCTTCCTGTGTTGACAGAGACTGTCTGTGGAATTTTTCATATCATTTACTTGCTTCTAGGCAAATGAGTGCCTCACATTTTCAAGTTGCTTTCATGCAACAAAATGTGCCATTTATAATTTACAAATTCTTCATTATATTATTCAGTGAAAAATATTTTGTATATTCGAACCAACCCCCTAGTCTATAGTTTGTGCATTTTAATGTTAAAAGTCAAATCTTTATTGACATGTGTTGAAGGATGGTTGAAATTAGACCCTTCATTCTTCCTTTAACTATGCTTATTTTAAATTTCTGGATCATGACTGTCTATCAAGTAAGCAGCAAATCTATTAGTGCCTCAAAGACTAGAAAAAAATATGACTTGTAATTATGACTTGATGTTGTTTTCTTTTCAATATTTTTTTTTTTTTGGTGACAGAGTTTTACTCTGTCACCCAGGCTGGAGTGCAGTGGCACGATCTCGGCTCACTGCAGCCTCCGCCTCCTGGGTTCAAGTGATTCTCCTGCTTCAGCCTCCCGAGTAGCTGGAATTATAGGCGTGCACACCTGGCTAATTTTCGTATTTTTAGTAGAGACGGGGTTTCACCATGTTGGCCACGCTGCTCTCAAACTCCTGACCTCAGGTGATCCACCTGCCTTGGCCTCTCAACATGCTGGGATTACCAGGGATGACCCACCCATGCCCCGCCCTTCTTTTCAATATTTTAATAAAGGACTTCTCATTTTCCTGGTGAGGGCAGGATTTCACTTTATTATGCAACACTAACGTGATTTTTTTTTAATATTTAGAAACACTGTGATAGACAGAAAGCAAATCTGCGAATTCGCTTCAGACCTTCCCTTTTCCAACACGTTGGTCTGCACTCATCACTATCAGGAAAAATCCAAAAACTCACGGTTGGTGACTTAATTTTATTTTCTCATGAACATACAACTTGTTAAGGTATAATTATTGTTTTTCTTCTTAAATAAGCTGTATATTACTTAATAACATGTATGTCTTTGCTCCCAGGATAAAGATTACATGAAACCGTTACTTCTTAAAATCCATGTAAACCCACCTGCAGAGGTGTCTACTTCCTTGAAGGTCTACCAAGGGCATACGCTGGAGAAGACTTACATGGGAGAGGATTTTTTCTGGGCTATCACGCCGATAGCTGGAGACTACATCTTGTTTAAATTTGATAAACCAGTCAATGTAGAAAGGTTGGTGATTACTGAAATGTTTGTGATCTTACAATTCAGACCTCTTATTCATAATGTGATTTACAATAGATTTGTGTGTGTGTGTGCATGACAGATGTGGGGACACAGTGGGCTCCAAAATGTTGGGCTTTAAATTACATGTAAAACAACTCCATAATAAAATGAGTGTGTTGTGTTCAGATGTAACATCGACATTTGACATGTTTGGTGAGCTTCGTTGGTATTTCTGGACTTCCATCTAGTATAATTTTTTTAATACTTTTATGCGCAACTCTCAAAAATCTCAAATTAGTGTTTATGTCTTTATCCTGGCATGTCCCTTGAAGATGGATCTGGACCTACTTGATTAGCCCAGTAATTTGGTTGAAATGACAGATTTGACAGAGTATGACTATTTTTAGTCAATGGTTTTACAAATGCTAGGTTATTTTCGGTACACCAGGGAGAAATTTACAGCTGTTTTATGTTTTTGAGCATTTATATTCATTTTACAAAATTTAGGACTTTCTTTCTTCTTCTTTTTTTTTTTTTTTTTTGAGACAGAGTCTCGCTCTGTTGCCCGGGCTGGAGTGCAGTGGTGCGATGTAGCTCATTGCAACCTCCACCTCCCGGGTTCAAGAGATTCTCCTGCCTCAGCCTCCCAAGTAACTGGGATTACAGGTGCCTGCCACACCTGGCTAATTTTTTTTGTATATTTTTAGTGGAGATGGCGTTTCACTATGTTGACCAGGCTGTTCTCAAACTCCTGACCTCAGGTAATCCACCCATGTCGGCCTCCCAAAGTGTTGGGATTACAGGTGTGAGCCACTGCATCTGGCCTATTTTTAATTTAATAGTCTTGATTCCTTCAGTCCTTCTTCAGGTTTGGGTGTGTTCCCCAGATTGGCCGCGGCAGACTTAAAAGAACATAGTGCCCCACTCAGTGGTATTTCGTTCTGTGTGTCCTGATGGGAGGGCTAATTTGATTTCTAGAACCCACCAGAAGTCATTGTCAGTAATTCTATTTAAGGTGGTCAGAAACAGGTTAGAGCTGTGATACGATGTGAATAATCTTCTTTTGTTACTCTCAACTGACTCCAAAGAGGAATTCAAGTTGTAAAAATGTTTTAAGCAATGGGAATACCACTGGAAGAACATACAGAAATAGTTTTGAATAATATTTAGCACTCGCATGAGCATTTATTTGTTTTGCTGTTAAAGTCCATTTTTATACTATTAGTAACACTCTGCACTTTGAGATACTGTTTACCACTCAGAGAGCCAGCATGGAATTAGAAACAGCATAGATGTCCGTTAACGTGTGTTTGGTTAAATAAAATGATATTGCCACGCAGTGGAATGCTGTAAACAGTCATCAAAAATAATGACATAGATTAATATGTATTGGCATGAAAACTTTTTTAGATATACACTAAGTGGGGTAAAAAGCAAATTTTATAACTTTATAGAATATTGTTATCATTTTATAGATTATAGCATTCTATGTGTATAGGATTCTAGAATATATAGCATTCTATAGAGAGAGTATAGACTTATAGATTATAGAAGGACTTTTTGAAATAATAAAAGCAATATTTTACACATATTATGTACATAGAACAAATCTGTAAAATATCTATTAAACTGTTAATAGAGGTGAGATAACAGGGACGATTTCATTTGACTTGATACATTTATTTTGTGTGCTTTTTCCCTCAACAATTTATTATTTTTTTTTTCAGTAGAGATGGGGTTTCCCTGTGTTGGTCAGGCTGGTCTTGAACTCCCGACCTCAGGTGATCCACCCACCTCGGCCTCCCAAAGTGCTGGGATTACAGGCATGAGCCACCGCACCTGGCCAACAATCAATTTCTTTTTCTTAGTCTTTGACTTTTGAGGAAGTGTAGATTCACATGCAGCTGTAGAAGTAAAACTGAGACGTCCTGTGTACCTATCACCCCCCTTGCCCAAGGGTAGCATCTTGCAGACTGTGGTTTTGACACCACTGTATCAAGATAAGGACCGTTTCTATCACCCCCAAGAATTCCCATGTTACCCTTTTACAGCCACATCTTCCGTCCTGCGGCTGTAACTGTATCGTAACCACGCTGTGACTGGCTGAGCGTTTTGAATGTGCAGGGGACTTTTTGTCAGTTCTCCTGAACTGATGGGAGCAGTCGTCTGAGGTAGATGGGACTATGTGCATTGCAGAAGGAACTCAGGTGCAGAAAGCTGAGGAAACTCGTGAAAGGTGAAAATTCTAGTAAGTGAGAGACCCAGGATTTGGACCCAGGTCTTTCTGACTCCTAAGCCTAAACTTTTAACCATGCAGCTGAACTCAAGTTAGGTTTAGATTCAGACATACTTTGCATGTCTTACCTTGTTTCCACCCTTCCCCACACACTGACACGTACGCATACTTACTAGTTTGTTTTCAGAGTATCAAAACAGTGTTATACTCGTACCCACAGAGTATTTTAGATCTGTCACCATGTATCATTAATTAGTCATTCTTCAAATGTTTTAATATTGATATTCAGATATTTTAAGAGGTTAATTTACTTTTAGTATACTTATATTAAAGTTATTTGTATTGGATAGAACTAGTCTTTGTTTCTTTTATTATTATTATTATTTATTACTAGTATTATTATTATTATTTAGAGATGAGTTCTGGCTCTGTTACCTAGGCTGGAGTGCAGTGGCACAGTCACGGCTCACAGTAGCCTAGACCTTCCGGGCTAATCTCAAGCAATCCTCTCACCTTAGCTTCCTGAGTAGCTGGGACTGCAGGTACATACCACCATGCCTGGCTAATTTTTTTTTTGTAGGGACAAGTTCTCACTATGTTGCCCAGGCTGATCTTGAACCCCGGCCTCAAGTGATCCTCCTGCCTCGGCCTCCCAAAGTGCTGGGATTACAGGTGTAAGCCACCACGCCCAGCCTAGAACTGGTCTTTGGACATGTCATGACTACCGGTTGTCCTAGTAAAGTTTTTTTCTGATACAAGATACAGTAGTATTACATAGGTGTTATAATTTTGACTCTTCCTGGGAAGAGGTTTAAATATTTAAAGCATTATAGACAGTGACATAAAACTGTCATCCTTTTTGAAAATGTCTAGGTACATTATTAGGTTAAGCAGCAAACATAATTGTTTCTGACAGAAGGAATGAACTAGGGGTCATGCTCTTAAGTCTTTAAGTCCCCTACAACCTTTCAGAACACATACTGTGCAGTTATTACAAGCTCTATCATTGTCAACTTTGCTTGCTTAGAGTCTTGTCCGGAAAAGTTGACTCTAAGGTAAGCTCATTTTCTTGAATCTTTGTAGAATCTAGCCCGACTTGTGTTTTTATCTGGATGTTTGTATTTTCAGTTATTTGTTCCATAGCGGCAACCAAGAACATCCTGGAGACATTCTGCTAAACACAACTGTGGAAGTTTTGCCTTTTAAGGTATGACTGCTTTTTCCTCTTACCTTTCCCTAACAACTATACTAGTAGACTTGCTTGAAGCTTTTCTTGTTTTTAAGGGGAAAGAAAATTCTCATGATTTGCAGGACTCAGTGGTGAATAATACTAAGTTTTTTGAAATATGAAGCACTTTTATATTTGACGAGTGCATTTGACACATTCATAGAAACAGCCTTCGTTTTATCTTGGAAAATAACAGGCCGACCTGGTGGCTCACGTCTGTAATCCCAGCACTTTGGGAGGCTGAGACGGGTGGATCACTTGAGGTCAGGAGTTCAAAACCAGTCTGGCCAACATGGCAAAACCCATCTCTACTAAAAATACAAAACTTAAGCAGGCATCGTGGCAGTCGCCTGTAGTCCCAGCTACTCGGGAGGCTGAGGCATGAGAATCACTTGAACCTGGGAGGTGGAGGTTGTAAATAATATGAACATTTCTACTAGGAAAAGAAATGAATCGTTTTTTTTTTTTTTTTTTTTTTTTTGTTTTGTTTTTTTCTTAGATAGAGTCTCACTCTGTCGCCAGGCTGGAGTACAGTGGTGTAATACTGGCTCACTGCAACCTCCGCCTCCCAGGTTCAAGTGATTCTCCTGCCTCAGCCTCCCAAGTAGCTGGGACTACAGGCACGTGCCACTACGCCCAGCTAATTTTTGCATTTTTAGTAGAGATTGGGTTTCACCATGTTGGCCAGGATAGTCTCGATCTCCTGACCTCGTGTTCCACCTGCCTCGGCCTCCCAAAGTGCTGGGATTACAGGCGTGAGCCACTGCGCCTGGCCTGAATCATTGTTTTCTTTAGTGTTTACTTGCTATTTGTATTTCGAGTCCGAAATTCTATGTGTTTTTAATGCCTGTTAATTAATACACAATTTAATTTATTGGTCTCTATGGAATTCTTAGATTTCTTTCACATTAACTACACAGTTCATCTATAGTTTTAATAGAAAATACTGTTCTATTTAATTGATTTAATGTTTCATTTCCAACCACCAATATATTATATACAGATTCAAATGATGGCTTAAGAAAACACCTTTTATTATTAATATAATACGTTTTTTAAAGTTCAAGACTGAGATGATATTTCTCTTTTTAGGGATAGCTGTGTTACAAATGCCACTTCATCTATATTAAGATATATTGATAACTTAGGTTAAATAGAAAGAATTATTTTTGAAATTAATGCTTTTGTTTTATTGTAGAGTGAAGGTTTGGAAATAAGCAAAGAAACCAAAGACAAACGACTAGAAGATGGCTATTTCAGAATAGGTAATATCTACTTTAGTAAAATGGCCTTTATTTTTGTGGATTTACTCCTGTAGTACTTTTAAGTTCTTTTCAGATGTTAAGCAACTTGAGGATTACAATTACCAGTGTCCTCCAGAGTTTTATGTGTGCTGTGTTGTAGTACTTGCTTTTATTATTTGACCCAAGTAGGATTTCGTATCACAGATTGGTTCACTAGCTCGTCTTTCTTTTTTTTTTTTTTTTGAGACGGAGTCTTGCTCTGTCACCCCGGCTGGAGTGCAGTGGCAGATCTCAGCTCACTGCCACCTCTGCCTCCCAGGTTCAAGCAATTCTGCCTCAGCCTCCCAAGTAGCTGGGATTACAGGTGCCTACTACTGCACCCGGCTAATTTTTGCATTTTTAGTAGAGACGGGGTTTCACCATGTTGGCCAAGCTGGTCTCAAACACCTGACTAGCTCGTCTTTCTTGCTCCTTCGGCTCCATCTGCCGTGCTCTTGTTGATGCTGATAGAGAGTCTGCCTGTACTGCCTCCTACTGGACGAGCTTAGCTCCTCTCCGGTCTCAGCTCACATGACAGGCCAGAATCTGTGCTTCAGGCCCCTTCCCCCCTTCTCCAGCATCACACCTGTGTTGAGATGTCCACTGACATAGCCTTATACCTGCCGGCCACAAGCCGCCTACCACGAGCGTCTGTAACACCCACATTTCTTTATTGGTCACCAGTTTTTGCTGTCCCCATCCATCTGGTCGCCTAAGCCTAACCTTGGGAGTCACCCTGAAGACCGCCCTCTTCTTGCTGTCCATTAGCACAAATCTGTCAGTTTTTCATCTGAAAGCCTTGAGTCGCCCTGTCTGTGAGGGGCAGTCTGCCCCGTGTCTCCGATTGACAGCCAAGGGAGGGACTGCGTCTTGCTGTGGCTTTCTAGAGCCACTGCAGTTACTTTTCTGAAACGTAACTAGAATCCTGAGACCTTTTCGTTATCCGATCCCTTAGCTCCCACCCACCTTCACGTCTGTGACTTTCTCTCGCTCTTTCTTTCCAGCCCTGAGACTCTTGTTCCTCTGATGAATGCCCCACACTCTCCGGGCAGCCACATCTCTAGCCATTTTCTGTGCCTGAAATGTTTGGTCAATTATTTTTCCTTCTAATAAATGCTTTTTCACCTTTAATCTGCCCATTTAGTGGCCCCTCTTCCCTGCTCTTCAGACCCCCCGGTGTGTGCCTTTGCTGTGTGATTGTGTCGTTCCATAGCTCCGTTCTGTGCGCTCCCCCCGGAGAGGGAGGGGCTGTGTCTCCCCTGCATGTCCTGTAGTTAACAGGGCCTGTTACTTGGTGGACACAGACTCAATAAATAACTGTACATTTCCTTTTGCTTAAAACAAACGAATGCTTCTCTTAGTATTAGGCAAGAGCGAATATTGGTAACTTGATATTGTAGGTCTATAGCATAGATAACATTTGTAAGCCCTTTCTAGTGCGGTTCTACCTTTGGCAGGTGTCATTCAGCCATTGCTGAGAGGCTTGCACAATAACCCTGGCTACTTTCTTTATAGTTTTGGTGGATGAATGATTTTTACATTTGGGCAATATCTTAGCCCATCTCTAGAAATATACACAAAATCAGCCGAGTATCCAAGACATTTATTACCCCATTACCTGTCACTTATTAAATTTCTGAGAATGGTATGTTCTAGATTACAAAAGTAGCATAGGAAATAGACATCTATATTAAATATCTCTATAGTAATTTGAAGAAAATGACCATCTAAAATATCAACTCATGTTCTTAGAATGAGAGGAGAACTTCTGGATCATCAGCCTAGGACCTTGTGTAATCAAACAGAACAGAACTAAAGAGCAGCTGATCTTTTTTCAACTGAATGTAGAAAATTCTGCTTCCTGAAGAAGTCTTTAATGGAACTGTGTGTGAGGAGCTTCCTTGACCCTCTCGGTAGCAAAACAATTATAACTGGTGAAAATTTTTTTTAAAAACTATTTTAAATCTGTGAAGATTGTCCTAAGGGCTTGCAGCAAATGGAGGAACATTTATTCATGAGAATCTCCCAGATCTCGGGGAGGGAACCAGGACCAGCCTCATCACCCACACCACCCCAGCTCAGGGAGACAGAAGCTCTGCCCTGGGCAGGTACAGCCTGGGCTGTACCTGGACTCTCCTGTCAGCTTCTAGGCTAGGGCTGTGGCATCTCCCCAGGAAGGTCAGGCTGCCAGCATCTGTCCTTACCCCCAGTTCTGTTGCAGAAGCTTTGTTCCAGACAAGAGCAGCTGATGAATCTGGGCAGAAATGTGCCCCAGGCACAGCAGGGGGAGAATACTTGGCCCTGATCACCGCTGCCCCAGCTCGCTGCCCCAGTCCAGTAGCAGAAACCAGCCGAGAAAACCAAGGGCTTGGCTGGGCACGGTGGTTCACGCCTGTAATCTCAGCACTTCGGGAGGCCGAGGTAGGCGGATCACCAGCTCAAGAGTTCAAGACCGGCCTGGCCAACATGGTGAAACCCTATCTCTAGTTAAAAATACAAAAATTAGCCAAGTGTGGTGGTGCATGCCTGTAGTTCCAGCTACTTGGTAGGCTGAGGCTGGAGAATCGCTTGAACCCAACCCAGGAGGTGGAGGTTGCCGTGAGCCAAGATTGCACCATTGCATTCCAGCCTGGGCGACTCTGTCTCAAACAAAACAAAACAAGACAAAAACCAAGGGCTACTGCCACAACCAGTGCTCTGATCCTAAAGCAAGATGTCACTCCAAGAGAAGGGGCTGCCGTCCTTGCCAAAGACCCAGAGCAGTGGTGTAGAGATTCTGCCCAACGGAGAGGCAGGTCAGAAGAACGGAGAGCTCTGTAGTTCTCCCTAAAGAGGGGGATGACTTACTTGAACCAGAATGTAGGGCAGTTCAAGCCTAAGGGTGCTGGGGAATACAATGGAAATTTTAGTGTTAAGCAGTTAGAGATGGTAGCTACAGTTAAGCAATTAGAGATAGTAGCTACAAATCTGATCCCAGTGGAAAGTTGAACAGGGAGAACTAGGGAAAGAGATGCTAGTAAGAGCCCTCTTGGAATGCAAACAAGCTGCAGTTGAAACAGGAAAAGTTCCCTTATCCGCCTTTCAGGGCGTGTCTGGGGGTGTGGCTTGTTTCTTGGGTACCCTGCTGCTCAAACCCATAGGGGAGCATGCAGAAGGGCCGGCTGTGGGGCTCTGACCCCAGGCAGTGTCTAGGGGTGAATGTTTACAGCTCCGAGGCCCCAGTGTGTGCGTGTTACAAGGTGCTTTTTTAGTTTAGCTGTCCATAGGTGGCTTGTGTTTGTTAGCTCAATTGAGACCCCCTGCCTTTTTTTTTTTTTTTTTTTTTTTTTTGAGACAGAGTCTCTCCCTCTGCCGCCCAGGCTGGAGTACAGTGGTGCCATCCTGGCTCACTGCAGCCTCTGCCTCCGGGGTTCAAGTGATTCTCCTGCCTCAGCCTCTCGAGTAGCTGGGATTACAGGCACGTGCCACCACCCCTGGCTAATTTTTTGAATTTTTGGTAGAGGTGGGGCTTCACCATGCTGGCCAGGCTTGTCTCGAGCTCCTGACCTTGTGATTCACCCGCCTCGGCCTCCCAAAGTGCTGGGATTACAGGCGTGACCCACTGCACCCGGCCGTTAGACCCTCTGCCTTATCACAAGGACAGAGGCTTTCTGTATCCCGGGGTTTCTTGCCTTGGTGTACCTGAAGACTTGGATCACGCATGGGCTTGGAGAAGGAGTGCCAGGTTTTACTGGGTGGAAGTAGGGCTCAGCAGATGGGAGAGCCAGAAGGGAGACCGTTTTGCCCTGGAGTCGGACTGCTCAGCGGCCTAGGCTCTCCTCCGACTGCCCCGGCCACATTCCGCGTCATTCCGCCTGTTGATGGCCCGACGGCATCCGTGGGTGTGCTCTTCTGCCCGCGTGCTCCCTTCCCCTCCACGTCCAGCCGCTTGTGTGCCTGCCTGCTAGGGTCTCAGGGCTTTTGTGGCACATATGGGGGCGTGGCAGGCCAGGGTGGTCTTGGGAAATGCAACATTTGGGCAGGAAGACGGAAATGCCTGTCCTCACCTAGGTCGGTGGGTGCAGGCCCGAGGGTGGAGCTCCAGCCCCAGGGCTCATGCCCTTCTCTACCCAGCACTTCCCTGCTCCACTTCCCTATCGCCAAGACTGGCCCTGGAGAGGGGCCTGAATTTAAATTGGATCAGACTGGGTAGCAACTTAGGCGTGAAGGCATTGGCGAGAACAGTAGACCATCAGCTGGCCGTCAGTGGAGACCCAAGGGTGGATGGGGTGGGGTTAGAAGAGAAGAGCCTGATAGCTAGGAATGGTCTTGCAGAAGAAATACTGGTTCTATTTCAGTGGGTTAGAGCTGTGAGACGGCAGAAGAACCTTCTGCAGAGACCCAGCGGGAGAAGGAAAGGGCCACTGGTCAGGCATGGCAGGCGGAGGGGAGCCACGAATATAGCCTTGGCCGTGCCTATCAGTGCCAGGAGTGTGGGGTTCCAGTCATTCTGGTAATTTCCTTCACTTTCTCTCTTCTTTCCTGTCTTTTAATACTTACCTTCCAGACCACTGGGTTAAGGACAAAGGCTAAATTTGTCTTTTGAAAAGTCATTACACACACACGGTACCAAATACAAATTTAAAACAGTAGTCTTGAGTCTTCTTCCCTTTTCTTCCCTCTCCTCCCCAGCGCTTCTGAGAGGCAGTTCCTGTAATGATTTGTGTCCCTTCAGGAGTATTCTATGCGTAAATGACAATATCTGGATATGTTCTCTAAGAACAACACATCATCACACACAAATGATGTGCCCTATAACCCAGTTTTACATCTCTTTTTTCCATGGAACAAAATGCCTATGAAATACGGAACATGAACTTTAAATGTTTTAATAGTAATAATATGCTGAGTACCTGTATCCACCCTCCAGCTTAAGATGTGCCAATTCAGCTGTCCTTCCCTAATAGCGTCTCTTCTCCTTCTACCCAAAGCTATACCCTAATAGCTTCTCTTCTCCTTCAATACCTGAATTTTATGGTTACCATTTCCATTTTTACTACTTGTGGAATATATTCCTAAGCAATGCACAGTGGGATTTTGCCTGTTTTCACATTTGATATAAATATCTTTCTGTAGTCTACAATTTGGTTTCTTCCCCCTCACAATTGTGAGATTCATCCATGTGGGGGTGTGGGTTTACGACTCATTCTTTTTCACTCCTGTATGGATGGATTCTGTGGATAGCACAATCTGTTCTCTGGTCATAAAGTTTGTGTCCAGGTTTTTGCTGTAATAAACACGGCTGCTTTGAACACTTATGCACATGTATGAGAGTTTCTCTACAATATACACTTAGGAAGAGAAGCAAATCTTCAACTGCATTATCTTCAACTGTTTCTTCATTATTTATTTATTTATTTAGAGATGGAGTCTCGCTCTGTTGCCCAGGATGGAGTGCAGTGGCACAATCTTGGCTGGCTGCATCCTCTGCCTCCTGAGTTCGAGCATTTCTCTCCACCTCAGCCTCCCAAGTAGCTGGGATTACAGGCGCAAGCCACCATGCCTGGCTTAATTTTTATATTTTTAGTAGGGACGGGGTTTCACCGTGTTGGCCAGGCTGGTCTCGAACTCCTGACCTCAGATAATCCACCTGCCTCAGCCTCCCAAAGTGCCGGGATTACACTTTGGGAGCGACTGTGCCTGGCTTATTCTTTTTATTTTTTCTTCAGTCATTTAATTGGCTGCCTAGAATTCCCTTGTATCAGCATATTGTCATTTATTTGGCCAGACTCCTAGTGATGGATACCTAGGTTGTTTGCAATCTTTTGCTGCAGTGTGTATCCTGTTCTTATATGTGGGAGAGGACAAATTGCTGGGTGAGAGTGTTTTGATGAAGCTAGTTATCATTTGGTAATTATTTTTCTAATTAAATGAACTCATCAGGTGACAGTATTCAGTGTCGCATTGGTTAAAATGTTCCAAGTTTTGCAATAGTTGTAAGCTCTCAATCCCCTGTCCAATTCAATATTCAATAATAATTTTTGGTAGCACCTACCTGCTACCCCAGTCCAGCACCAAGTATGGACAAACTTCTATGAAATAAGTTTATTAATGATTTTTGAATAAAAGCATTACTTTGGAAGCTCTAGGTTCAACTTTTACAATACAAATTAGTACAAGCCTGCTCTGCTGTGAATTTTCAATCTGAATGTACCTTATCTTATGATTAATCTAATTACTATGTTGTGAGACTGGATGATGGATCGCATAATGTAACAGCATGCGATCAGCAAACTACAGCCCATGGGGCACATCTGGCCCTCCACCTGTTTTTGAATACTCTGTGATCTAAAAACATTTTTTAAGTCTTTTTCTTTTTTTATTTTTAAATGGTTAAAAAAGTAAAAAGAATACATTGTGATATGTGAAAATTATATAAAATTCAAATTTCTGTGTCCATAAATAAAGTTTGTTTTGGAAGACAGCCATGCTCATTTTCTAATGTAGTGTGTGTGTGCTTCTACTCTCCAACAGCAGAGATGAGTGAGTAGGTGCAGTAGAGATCACGGTCATTCTCTCCTGGCTTCGCACTGCTGCACAATGATGCATTTATAATTGGACAGTATTTTGAGAGCCACACATATCATGGTGCTGTGACTTAAAAAAATTACAAGTACTTATCCATCCTCAAAGCAAGAAGAGTAGATTTTGAGCATTGTGGCTTTTAACACAGTAGAATGTGGGTTATTTTACAAAATTGTTGGCAAGTTATTGTAGTTATTGTGCAGTTACGTGAGAGCTGTGTGTTATTAGGCTAAATACAACGATATTCCCAACTCACGGGAAAGCAGTGGTCAGAAAAGCTGAAAAGTTTAGAATGGAATATCTCATCACAGCAGAATTTCTTCACTAAAAATACAAATGAGGCTGTTCCCAAAGTGATATTTCAAGTGGCTCATTTTTTAGCTAAGCAAGAAAAACCACTTACCAATCATGAGTTAATTAAATCATGTTTAGTAGCAGCAGCTGAGAAAGTAAACTGATTTAAGGATAGGAGGCTTTCAGCAATAACAATTGCTTGAAGACTTAAGGACATTGGGAGCAATATCAGTAGTCAAAAAGCAAAGCAGATTATTTTGAGTGTTTTTCTTGGCTCCTGAGGAGTTGATGGAGTTATCACTGGTACTGCTCAGTTGTTACTTAGAATCAATGCCAAGGCTGAAGAGACTGAAGAGTTGGTCCCCATAAATAGTCAGTTTGGAACAACTACAGAGAAGAAGATTTTCACACAGGCTGAGAAAACACAAATTCAGTAAAACCTGAAGTAGAATCTGCTAAGATGTGCTACACCAAATGGTGGTTAAAAAAAAAAAAAATGTGTGGAGAAGATGGCTTAGTTGCATTAATTTATAAAGCTTGAGAAAATGTAAGGTATTTAAAGCCTATCGTTATTTATTTTATTATTCATCAGCCAGGTACTTTGCAGAAAAGATGTGAATGTGTCATATGTCATTGAACCAAAGTGTCAACAGTGAACCTTATTCACTCTCATGGACTTAGCCATCACAGATGCTGTGAATTTTTGTCAGAAATAGGAACTGAATATCCTGACTTGCCCTGCCACACAGCAGTTCAATGGCTTAGCAGTGGTAAAGATTTACTGCAGTTTTTTTGAGTTCAGGACCAAGATTGAAATTTTCCCAAATGAGAACTTCCCTCAACAACTATTATCACTTTGAAAATTCATTTTTGCTAGACTGGGCATGGTGGCTAACGCTTGTGATCCCAGCACTTTGGGAGGCCGAGGCAGGTGGATCACTTGAGGTCACAGGTCCAAGACCAGCCTGGCCAGCATGGTGAAACCCCATCGCTAATAAAGATACAAAAATTAGCCAGGTGTGGTGGCACATGCCTGTAATCCCAGCTTCTCCGGAGGCTGAGGTGGGAGGATCACTTGAACCTGGGAAGTGGAGGTTGCAGTAAGCCGAGATTGTGCCATCACACTCCAGCTTGGGTGACAGAGTGAGACTTGTGCCATCACACTCCAGCTTGGGTGACAGAGTGAGACTCTATCTCAAAGAAAAAAAAGAAAATTAGTTTTTGCTGCATACTTAATATTGTTTCTTAATGAATTCAACCTAAAATTACAAGACAAAATGGTGCTTATATGCAAAACTTACATTGCAGTCAAATCATTGTAATGACAGTTAGTTAACATTGGACTTGAAGTACCATCAAGCTTTTTATACATTTTTCATGCTGTCAAAAGGTAAAACAGGAAGCAAGATCTCCATCCCACACAAATTTACGGCAGATGCACTTTCCAAGCTCAAACTATGGTCCCAGCAGTGGTTTTGGACCTCAATACAAATGAAAGAGAAATTTCCATATCTCAAAATCCATTGAATTGAGGAACTTCGCCTAAATCTCAATTGGAAATGATTCATCTGCAGTGTAATAATATACCAGAAGGCTAATAATATACCAAAAGGAAAACCAAATCGACTTCCATAAATGCCTCCCAAGGGATGCGTGTGCCCCAGTAAAATCGTGTGTTTGTGGATTGATATCAGTATTAGGCAGCACCTAGGCTGTGTGAAAGAATGTTTCAAAGATGTATATAAAATATCATTATAAATCAGCAATAACAAGGGAACATTTGCAGTCAGTTTTGATTATAGGGAACATTAACTTTGAACCCCAATTAAGTGAAATGTTACACTCCTGAAAGGAATTATGTTCTCCTTGGTATACCTAGATTACCAAAAACTATATATTGTATTCAGTTATCATTATATATTGAATTTCTACCTCAGATTTGTGAAAATTTGTTTTCTCTCTTCCTGTATATATTACCCTACATAGTAATCTCAAACTTCCTCTTGGCCCACAAGGACTGTCCTTTATAGAAAAAGTTTACCAACCATTGGCTTAAAGGAATTTGGCCCACGATGAACCGTTTTCTTGTCACTTTTCTGACGACATTTTCTGATTCTGTTTTAAGATGGATATTATTCCTTATATAAAGAAAGATGGTACAGAGTACGTTACCTTGTCTGGTTGTTGGTCTTTATTTTTATAGGAGAGCCTATTTTAGCTTATCATTATAATGGAGTTTTATATTGAACTGTGTAGAGGAGGCGTTATTTCTTAATTCCTTCTAAATGTGCCTTTGGAAAGAATACACTTGTATTGAGTCCCTGCTCAAGGTGAACAACTGTGTGCATATTTAATTCACAAATCAAAATTTGTTATTAACATTCAAAGCAATCAGTGCATAATGGTACAGATTATACTTTGGTAAGATTTAGGTAAATCACAATTTACAGAAAAACCTATAGGTTAAAACATTGTTGATGTAAGAACAAATATATTTTTGTTTTTTAATTTGTAGTGAGAAAAAGTATAGCTCTGCCTAATTAAGTAAATTGCCTGTGAAGTTTTTAAATATGCACTTCTTCAAGAAAAATATAAAAGCTGAACAAAAGTAGAAAGAAGGGGGAAGGAAATTACCCATGCCCTGTCAAAAGACATCGACTAGAAATATTTTGGTGTATTCCTTTCCTGCCTTAACTCAGTGATATTTTATGTTTGCTTATCTCAGTGTGTCCAACAAGTATTGATTTTTATTTTGAAGGAAAATTTGAGAATGGTGTTGCAGAAGGAATGGTGGATCCAAGCCTCAATCCCATTTCAGCCTTTCGACTTTCAGTTATTCAGAATTCTGCTGTTTGGGCCATTCTTAATGAGGTAAGCATATATCAAATCAGTGAAACAGCTTAGAAACTACATTTTTATTATGTTTTTATTTTGTATTTAAGGCCTTTTTGGAATTGAGAATTAACAGCTTTATCATACCTTTTATGATTTTGTATTTCAGATTCATATTAAAAAAGCCACCAAGTGATCATCTGCTGAGAAACCAACACATTTTTTCCTGTGAATTTGTTAATTAAAGATAGTCAAGCATGTATCTTTTTTTTTTTTATTTCTACTTGAACACTACCTCTTGTGAAATCTACTGTAGATAAGACAATTGTCATTTCCACTTGGAAAGTGAATCTCCCATAATAATTGTATTCGTTTGAAACTAAGCTGTCCTCCGATTTTAACTTGACTCAAACATTTTTCAATTATGACAGCCTGTTAATATGACTTGTACTATTTTGGTATTATACTAATACATAAGAGTTGTACATATTGTTACATTCCTTAAATTTGAGAAAAACTAATGTTGCATACATTTTATGAAGGGGGTACTTTTGAGGTTCACTTATTTTACTATTATAGACCCTCTTTTATAGATTATCAGGGATTATATATATAAATATATAAATATACATAAAAATGTTATGGAATTAATTTATTAGAAACACTTAAGAAGTACATATTTTTGTGCAGTAGATTTTTGAATCGATACTTTTTTTGAAAACCAGTTACCTTGCTTTTTTAAGTTCTTTCTATATTTTTCTTTGGAAATGCAAACATTACAAATCAATGCCATTTTTCAAATACACTGCCATTTAAGATTGATTATAGATGGATTTCTTAACTGAAGTACTTTTATAATCACAGTGACTGAACAAAATATTTTCAAAGACATTTGTCATTCCTTAAAAGCCAATATTTTAAAGACTAATGTCCTTCCTGAGGGTTACTTTACTATACTGTGTATGGTGTATAGCCACAGAAAGTCAGTCTGATATATTTTCAATGTGTAAGTGTGATGCATTCAACCCAGATTATTGTAGACTTAACTTATTATATTTCCTCTGATGTGTAAAATGACAAACTCTTCTTTCGTTTTTAATCTTTGTCTTTAATCCATGAATTAGGTGCGTTATCTCCTGTTGATTCTTTTATATCTGCACTCATTTGATGAGTTCTGACAAATGTTTTCTAGGTGTTGCTATTGTATGAGTCATAATTGGTATAATTTTAAAGAAAAATTGTAATATTGGTTTTTGGCGAAATATATTAGTAGTAGTATATTTTCCAAAATGATTTTATTGTAGTATGAACTGCTAAGTGAGTCCCGTGTCCAGGAGAGTGTATTTATTACCCTTAAACATGCAATTCCAAATGATATTACTGCTATAAACAAAGAATATTACCGGTCTCCGCAATCAGTGATCTTTATAAAAGTACTTTTAAAAAATGATGAATTGTTGGCCAGGCGTGGTG